ATTTACATAAACTTTAACATGCTAAATGGTATTTTGGGGTAAATCTGGGAGAGATGAAACGATGCGCAAATCATCATTTTACCCCACACTGGGACTTATTAAATCGCAGACAATTTTTTCGTTAATTGCGAAATAAACCTGAGATGATATGAATCAAATTAAATTAGTTTTCCATAAGATTAAAAAATTGATGGTTCCAAATGGACTACAGAAGTTTAGTTTTCTATTACATTTCTGTACAATCATAAGAAACTTACTTCTGAAATTAAATTAATTAAATATTTGAATTGTTCCGAATTGAATTCTTCACATATTGATAACAGTAAGGTAAAACTATGATTGTCATGCAATACCGATTGATTATGCTATAAGAAGAAAAAAAAGAATTTCGTTCTTTTATTCCATTTACAATATCAGAGGATCCAAGGCTCCTGAAATAGTCCATTTCATCGTCAACCGGTAGAAAATGAAACTTCCATGTTGTTTAGCGCGCATTAAGTCTTAATGAGTCCTGCCTTTTCGCTATAGGACCCATGGCCAGAATACCCCAGTGAGAAGGGCGAAAAAGTATAAAAATTGGATTGCACATATACAAAAAGATTATCATGAAGTTTTGGTTAACGCTGGTGCATTTTATGAGAGAAGTAACTGAAGTTCCGCTACCGTAGTGGCGCCATCTGTAATTACTCTAAAATTAACGTCTTCAGGGAAACACCAAAACACCATGATAAACCTTTTTGTATATGGGCAATCCGATTTTTATACTTCGAAACTTATAGTTTACCTTCTCACTGACGAGAGTCATTCCGGAGACTAGATTCTCTACATATATGTTTTTTTCCCTATTAAAAAAAATTATTCGCATCGTTTTATTTATAGTTAATATGTTGTAGCTAAAACTTAAATTAGTTTAAATTAAAATTTAGATAGTCAGAACTTGAAGGAAACTGTGATAGTGTCCTCTATCCGTGGCAATTCGCCGTCGATGTGTTGTGTCCGGTATGGCTGGCTGGAGACATTTGTAATAAACTTATCATATATCATTTCATTAACTCGTTATATAATATTAGTTTTATTTGAAACTTTCCAGAAAGTTGATTAGAGATATTCGTTACTTGAATAAAAAAAAAAGCAGACTGACGAATCAAGTAGTTTTAGCATAACTTAAGCCCCTCCTGCTAGTATCGAAACGTTGTGGAGATCTCGGGCTAGTCTTAAATTGACGAAAACACATGTGGCTAGAGGCTAATAGAGTCGGATTTTTGATATTTTTCTTTTCAAATTAATGGCCAGCATCAAAAGTCCAAAATTCGAAAAAGTCTTATTAACTTTGGTATCAAAAATATTTGCTCTATTTCTTGGTGTTACTAAAACTAGTTTTCGATTTGCTTGTTAATTGGAAAGTAGATGTTCTTCAAAAAGCCAGCTTTTCTAAAACCTTCATACGCCTTCGATGAGGATCGAAAAACATTGGATCTTGATAGTAGATACGTGTCGCGTGTCTTCGATTTGTTTATGAAATGTCTGTTGAGTGTTTCATGTTACAACATTGTCAAGGACTATATAAATGAATCACTTTTTATCGCACGACATTGAAATGGGTTTCATTCAGAAGAAAATATAGCTTCTCCTTTTTGGAAAAGTAAACTAACCTCTGTGTTCCATATTATCTCAATATCTTCCTTTGTTAGTTTTGATCCAATAAACTTGAATAATATACTAATATTTTTAATGTAGTCAGAATCGTTTATATCTCCTAAACAGCAAGAGAAGATGCCTGATTTTAAACTTCGATAAATTTACTCTATATCAGAGCTGATCACTTGCATCTTAAACTGCCTGCAAGCTGCAGGCAGGTTGCAGTTTGCAGGTGAATGAAAAAATTTTCCACTGACGCCCGGCAGATAAAGAAAAATATGATTTCATCTGTATTCACAGCAGGGAAAGACGTTTTTGTGTGGAGAGCAAAAAGAGAGAGGAGACCAAGAGAAATATTGATCACACTGAAGGTTAGAATGATCGCTTAATCAAAAAAAACTAACTAAGAGTTATTTTGTATGTCTACTAGACATTTTAAGATGAGGGAGAGAAACGTTTTATCCGTAATTACTTATATCATTTGATATATCATTTTCCTCTGATATAATGGCCTAGACCGCATTTGTGTAGAATGACTATTCGTATTTCTCTTTCTTAAATGAATGAAGTTTAAATTAAACTGAAAGAAAAATATAGAATACAGAAAAACAATGAATTTCGCTCTTATTATATGTAATAGAGCCTTTAGCTATAACGCTAATAGCGTATAGCAAATCTTTTTTATTCGCATACAGGAATACAACTCTGACATTAGGTGGCCTATGCGGAAGGAAAGAAAACGATTTATTTCTCGCATTTTCTTCGTGTTCTATTGAAATGACGTATGAGAAACTTTTATTTTCACTCATACAAAATAAAATATTTTAACCGATCGTTGTACAATTTCTTCTTGATTAGAGAAACAAAGCGGGATGTGGAATGTAATTCTGCAGAAAAGGATTTTTCATTGCATCAGACAATCACCTTTTTTGACTCGTTTGTCTTTTATAGATAGGATAATAATTCATCCCCACGCAAATAAGCGAAACATTTCTGTTTTTTCGTTCTATCATAAAAATGCGTCTGAATGTCGACACATGCGCCGCATTAAAATGTGCTGTACGCTAAGGCTCTAGTATATAGAAGATGACAAAAGACTATAACGATAACAGAAAGAGAAAAATATAGAACAAGGGTATTGAATCGTAACTGGTGATACAGTGTATAATTATCAGTGTGTACTACAGACTGATAGTGGTCAGTAGGAAAAGAAATTGTTATACCTCGCCTTAGGATCCACCGGAAGGGTAGGACAATGCCGAAGTCTACACCTTAACCTCTGCCTATACAGAACAAAATATTTTTTTGCTAACCTGCAAACAGCAGCGCAGGTAAATTTTATTTTACCTCTGCGCGGTACCGCGCAGGGGTGAAAAATTATGCTGTTGATCAGCTCTGCTCTATATACGCATACCTTTCAAAGCTTCGGACACAATTGAATTTCCAATCATCCATTGAGATAAAATATCACAGTCAATACTTTTATGTGTTACGTTGAGCAATACTGTAGTTGAATTTTCAATTATGGTCACTAACTATCGTAAAAAAAGAACATCAAGACAATAATTAAGCCATTTGATTATTAATTTCAGAAAAGTAAAACAGGCTATTTAATGATTTTTAAACAAAAAGTAAACTATATTGTTTTAACTTATTTAACTACTTTATGCTATTATTCAAGAACGTCGGGTGTAATCAAAAGCAATCTAAACAAAAGTGGTCTTACCTCTTCGAAACCATTTGTTCTCAAATCCGTGTTCGATGATTGTAATAATTTTGAAATCATATTTAACTGAAATTCATGTATGGTTTCAATGTGATCTGGCCATGCAGAACAACATATTGTTTTTAATGTTGTTAGTAGTTCAAATATAGAATCACTCGTTCCAACCTATGAACAATGAGAAATAGCATAAATTTTGAAATAACTGAACATAATAAACAAAAGCATATTACATCAAGAATATTTCCTTCTTCATTTAATATTTTCTTAACATGTTTCATAGCTTGTTCAACATGTTCATTGAATAAAGACTGATATTTATCGATGATTATATAATCCAGACAGTTAGCAAATGTTGATAATAAAGCATTATATTCCTATTCGGTAAAATATAAAAACATCAAAGATAACTTTCAAGTATTTTTACTGATATGTTAAGATAGAAAAGATAGATATTGGGAATTTTATGGAGACTATTCCACTACTGTCTGCTCAAGTTATGCCCCTTGTTCCTTTTTGGAAAAGTGAAGCAAAACGTTCAGCAAAGCATAGCAAAATACTTCCAAGTCATTATTCGCAATCAAATATAGTTGTCACTCTCAAAAAATGACAGGTATAAATCTGTGTCCATTTTCTATTGTTCTGGATATAACTTCGGTTTTCCTTGTAAAATAAGAGCAAAAAAACATCGGTGTACGTTCGGACATGAATGTGTTATACTTGTACATAAGATTAAATTATTCTCTCTTCGATTCTGTTTCTTGCTTAGCAACGCTCTGATCAAATAAACATTCGAAGAAAAAAAATACATTTATATAACAGAACGAAAAAAAAATGACGAAAGTGGAGAAAAAGCAGAAATTTCCACGCAAAACCAGTTTTCCGCTTATTTCTCTAAAAATAGACTTTGTACCAAAAGCGGACTTTCAGATTCGGACTCTACGAAAAATAACGAATCAGAATATCTATACCGTTTCTTTCCAAACCCCCACGCTGGAAAATAGCTCGATTTGCTATGTTACTTCATTTTATACCAGAAAAATACTTCCTTTTCCGAAACCATCGTAGTTCAAGATGCCGGACTTGTCTGGTTTCGCACGAGATACACACCGCGCTATTTTTTTCCAGTTGATCTTTTCTTGTCTTACACACTTAGGTAACTATTACATCAGGTTTCTTACTGTAATTTAGAAAGGTCGTAAGAATAGTTGTAACAGATTACTCGATTCTTTAATCCCTAGAGATCAAATCTTATATAAGATTCCTATAGGAATCTTACAGAATATTTGCAAGAATCTTATAAGAATCTTATAAGGCAGTCGATGGAAATGCGTAATTTATGTATAAGAATCTTATATAATCTGATAAGAATCTTATATTAAGAATATAGTACGATTTCATCATGTTCTTTAGTGGTCAGTACTCTATATTCATTCTATTTTCATACTATAATCAATCTACTGTTTCATTCGTGAATAAAATAATTTTCTTTCTATAGTCATGAT